CCTACCCCCCTTCCTCCCTCCCTCTCGGGGCCACCCCAGCCCCCCCGCTGCGCTGACGCCCCTTCAGCCCCGATGCCCGCTACACAACGTTAACTCCATATCTTGGTAAGGGCGTGGCGTGGCGTGCAGTGGTGTGGTGCTATGTGGACCTCTCCGCCGCGTGTGCGGCGGGCGTGGTGGTATACAACATCGCCGCTGCTGCTGCGATTAAATTGGAAGCTTTCGGTGGACGGGACGCTGCCACCGCCGCCGCCGTTGTTGTTGTTTGGTCTGTTTGTCTCGCTTATTTCTCCTGCTCCCCGGACGCTTCATTTCTCTTCCTCTCCGCCGCTCTCGCACACTCGCGCTCATTTCTCTCCCGCGTACGTCCCGCGCCGCCGTGGCGTCGCCTTCCTCCTCACGAGGGCCGGGCCTGGTAGCAAGCCCCGCCGCCCCACCCGGCGTGGCGGGTCCGGGCGTGGCGTGGCGTGGCGGGGCGGGGCGGGGCGTGGCGTGGTGGGGTGCGAGATGGGGTGTCGACAAAAGCGAGGGTGGAGGGTGAACGTAAATGGGCCGATATAAAGAGGCGCTGGACTGATCCCCTCAATTAACCTGCTCCTCGCCCTCCGCCCTTCCCCTTCGCCCCCCCCCCTCTCTCTCTCTCTTTCTCTCTCTCTCTAGCATGGTGACAGCCCTCCCCTCCCCTAAAAAAAACACAACCTAAATTATTCGTGCTAATTATGAGACGGTCGACGACGGGTCTTCCGTTTGCTCTTTCTGTTTTAATTATAAACTAACCGACTGCTCATCGTCTTCGTTATATTTTTGCTATTCAGGCTTCGACAAGTACAAGGGCGGCCTGGACACGGTGCATGACCTCACGGGGCTGTATTCGGTGTACACCAACTGGCGCAGCATCGAGATCATGTTCCACGTGTCGACGCAGTTGCCGTACGAGAAGAACGACCCACAGAAGGTGAGAATTGCAGTAGAAGGAGCCTGTTGTTTGTCTTATTTGTTGGTTTGGCCGTAGCAAACAAAAGTTGACCGACGCGTCGAAATTTATTTTTTGGTATGCCATGTAAGTTCCATTTTTCACGAGCTTTCCCATTGCTCAGCTCCAGCGCAAGCGACACATCGGCAACGACATCGTGTGCGTCGTGTTCCTGGAGGCCGACAACACGCCCTTCTCGCCCGCCTGCATCAAGTCGCACTTCCTGCACACGTTCATCCTGGTGCGCACCTCGCCCAAGATCAAGCGCAAGCCGACGCGCTACGAGGTGTCGGTCGTGACGCGGGACGAGGTCGGCGCCTACAAGCCGTACCTGTGGGAGCAGAGCGTGTTCGACAAGGGTCCCATGTTCCGCGAGTGGCTGCTCACCAAGATCGTCAACGGCGAGCGCGCCTCGTACTCGGCGCCCAAGTTTGCGCGCATGCAGGAGCGCACTCGGTCCCAGGTCGGTACGACGGGTGCTCCGCTATGAATTCAAGCGTTCACCAATTTTCTCAGTTTTTCCTTTATGTTTTTTTTTCCTTTTTTCCTTTTCGTATTTTGTACCGGATTTCCCAAGATTTTTTTCTGATGTGCCCGATATTTACGCGAAATACCGCTTGGGTCGGTGTCGCGTAATTCGGTTATCTGCATATGTTATTCGTAAACAGTAATAGAACTTCAGGAAAAGAAAAAAAGGAATGAATCGCAAAGAGATGTGAGAGTTTTAAAAAGTAGAGGACGCGTGAATCACAGACGGGAGCGCCTGGTAGTTAGGCAATCCTGATGTAGCGACGCAGCGCTGTTGAGCGGGTGGCCTATGTGCCGGTTCGCAGGCGTTCACTTGACTGGGAATGGGCATTGAGTTTGGTGCAATTCTTTCCAATTACTTTTTTATCTATCTATCTTAAATTAAAGCATTAGTAGCAACATTAGAATTTGTAATATTGTAGGTAGTCACCTTTTTGTCATTCTTCTTTTTGCAGATGCTTGAGGATCTGGTGGCCAACCTGGCGAACCACGCCGAGACGGGGCAGATCCCGAAGCCGTACCGCCGCGGCTCTTGGCGGCCCATCGGCCACATGCGGCCGTCCAGCCCCCTGCTGGACAGCGTCCGCGACCGCTTCGAGGACTACGACGTCCTGGCCAAGGACTTCAACCGCTGCTTCCTCAATACGGAGGCCAACATGGCCGTCAACGCCAGCCTGTTCGACGTGACGTTCCTCGTCGGCCAGAGCAAGCAGAAGGTCAAGTTCGTCGGGGTGCGCGCCATCCTCGGGGTGCGCTCGCGCGTCTTCCAGGAGCTGCTGTACGGCATCCAGACGGGTTTCGGCTCGCCGCAGGTGCCCGTCGCCGAGCTGCTGGCGCGGCCCGTGCCGCCGCTGCACTCGCCGCAGAAGCCCAAGAGCAGCAACTTCCTCCAGGTGCCCGACATGGAGACGCCCAGGTGAGTTCGACGCCCCCCATCCGCCACGCCACCGCCGCACCCAGAAAATCCTGAACTTTTGGGAAATTCCTTGATTTTGACCTTAAAAAAAACTTAACCGTTAATTAAGAAAAATTCACCTTAACTTAATAAAACACTTAAACACAACGAAATTTTCTTTACTAAAAAGAATGGAAATAACTTTCAAACAAGGAAAAAGTTTCCCAATGTTTTTTATTCTGCGGAAGCAGTTTTCTGGGTGCGCAGGGGTCTTGCAGAGGGGTGTAAACAATTGTTGTTGTCCGCCGCAGGCCCAAGAGCGTCCCGAGCAGTCCCATGGTGAAGCGCGCCTTCTCCAGGCTGGGCAACCTGACGGCGGGCTGGGGCCGCTCCATCCGCAAGCAGCAGAGCCAGCTCCAGGTCGAGGACAAGAAAAAGTGGGCGTCGTCGCAAGACTGCTCCAGTAAGGACCTCCGCTCTCAATGTTTTGTTGTTTTGTTTTCTCCCCCTTTTTTAATGAAAGAGAATGTCTCGTCTCGTCGCTGAGCAATATCCCTCAAGTGACCATCAGCAACGGGTAAGTCTAGCCTGCCGTGGCCGAGACTATGCGGTAATTCTAGTCGGCGGCGGGTGGGTGCCGCCGGTGGGCGCCCTTAGGCGGGGAGGGGCAACGGCGACGGGACACGAAATTTGATTTCCCGGGGTAGACTGCTGGCGCGCTAGCGCTCGGCGCTCGGGTCGGGGAGTAAGACAGACTAGAGCGGCAACTCGAGAAGACTCTGCGGTAATGACAGGCTGATAGGCCCGGGGCAAGTTGCCGCCACGCCCGCCGCACCCTGGGCCGGGCCAAGGGCCGGGCCAAGCCCAACCCGCTGATGAGGAAGCAGGGGACGCTTAAAACTTTTCAAATTGCCTCCGAGGTGGAAAGTGTGACGGCAGCAAGCGGCCAGACTAGACAGCTTTGCCATTTATTTATTTTTTTTCGTCATGTTTTTTACGTTGTTTTCTTTTTTCGTTTTTTACATCTCGAGCGAAAGTAAATGTTCTTCTTTTTTACTTCCCTCGTCCAGACAAAGAGAGTAAGGACCGGGACAAGCACCAGCAGCACCACCAGCAGTCGCAGTCGCTGGCCGTGCCGCGGCTCAGCGTGAGCGCCGACGAGAAGATTGACCGGGCGAAGCTGGCGCAGACGGAGGTAAGGCCTCAGTAACCCCGTCAGATTTGTTGTCTTTAAAAACATGTGAATGAAAAGGTCGCTAACTTTTCATCCTTATTCATCGCCTTCAGTTCAACATCATCGAGTTCGACCCAGAGACGTTTCGGCTGCTCCTCGACTACCTCCACACCAGCACGTGCCCGCTGACGTGCGCCAACATACCGGGCCTCATCTGCGCCGCCGAGCACTACGACCTGCCCGAGCTGCTGCAGGCGTGCTTCCACCACGCCAAGCAGTTCCTCAGGATAGAGGTGGTGAGTGCCCGGCCTTGAACATGTATGAGGACTGTAAGAGGCTGTTAAGGACTATCATTTACTTTAAGGACTATGAAAGACTATAAGGACCATTGTAGTCGACTATAAGAGATTTTAATTGGCATTAACACTTTGAGAAACAAGAGAGACTATAAGGACTAAAAGGACTAAAAGGACTAAAAGGACTATAAGAGACTATACAGTCTCTCTACCTGGTCCTGTACGCTCCGGCGCCGCTAAGCTGACCGTTTGTCTCGCCACAGGTGTGCGTCATGCTCTGCTCCCTGGAGAACTACTACTGGAGGTACACGTCCGCCTCGGAGCTGGTCAACATGATCCTGGCGTTCGTCGAGACGCGCGCCCACCAGGTGAGTGCAGCCGAGCCGGACCCGACGCGGGTCCAGAGCAGGCTGCTGCGGGAAAAGTTGTGAACTCTGCCCTTGCGTCTCTGCAGCTGTATGGGGTCATCTTGGGGAAAAAATACGACCCCGCTGAAGCTCCCCACTCCGGCGCCTTGAGCATCCCTGTGTTCAATGGACCACCGTCAGGGGAGAGGAAGAAGAAGGGGGGGGGGCTTGGGCTCTCTGCCACGCGCCGCTGGGGAAGCTGAATGAGATGCTTGCATAACAGGCAGTGACGCAGGCGGCGGAGGAGGACGTAGCCAAGGCAAGAGCAGCTGTTATGGAGATGGAGAGGGTCGGGGCGGGGCGGGGCGGTTCACTCCTCGTGAACAGAGGAGGCTTTGCAGCTGACGGGGCCGAAAATGTGGAACAGCTGTGTCAAACGTTCTCAATGGGGGCGCCGCCGGGCGCCGCGCCACCACCCCGCCGCCGTGGAGAGCAGTGGTGTCTCCTCGGGTGTCTCGGAGTGGGCTCGACGCCGACGAACGACGGCAAACAGACACCGAATACGGGTCTTTTGAACGCCGACATCAGAAATAATATCGTCTTGTATATGTTGCTGCTGTGCTGTGCTCTGTCTAACCTCTAACGCCGTCCGTCCTCTCTGCCGCTCTCTCTCGCCAGCTCTTCCAGACGCCCGACTTCCTCACGCTGTCCGAGTCCATGGTGCAGATGATCATGTGCCGGTCGCTCGAGGTGCCCGAGGTGCGCAAGTTCGAGGCCATGCTGGGCTGGGCCCGGCACCGCATCCGCAGCAAGACGTCGAGCAAGATGGACGCCAAGCTCGAGTTCAAGATGATCATGGAGCGCCTGGCGCGCGACCTCAAGCTGTACCGCATCTCGCCGCAGGAGCTCATCAAGGTACACCGCCACCACCCTCTAGCTTGAAGTTTTGACTCCCCCATTCCTCTCTTCCAAATTGACCCATATCCTCCCCTCTCTCTCGTATACCATTTCACTCTGCTACCCCCGGTGCCAACCTTTCTCCCCCACTCCCCCCTCCCCCACCCCTTGTCTCTGCACGTTAGCCCACTGCACGTGTCCTGCACGAGCCTCGCCTCACCCCCCTGTCCGGCTTGTCTTCCAGATCGTGCTGCCCAGCAAGGCCATCAAGAACGAGCGCATCCTGGAGACGCTCATGTTCCAGGCCAACTCCGGCATCTACCGCGTGCAGGAGACGGACATGGAAGGCTACCAGAAGATGCTGCGCACGCAGGAGTCGCGCTACAGCGACTGGGACTCCTTCGATTTCAATCTGTGATCCTCCCCTCCCCTCCCCGACTCCCCCCGCTGCTCCCCGTGGACTGAGATGACAAGTGCACGTGTCCCGTCAAGTTGATCTCCCCCGCTCTCCCCCTCTTTTCCCTTCCACCGCATGGTGATAGAAGTCTATTTTTTGTACGGTGCACTGCACCCCTGCCCCGCCCTGCCGTGGTGGAGAATGACTGACTGGACTGACTGAAGCGCCGTCGTCGCCGCCGCCGCCGCCGCCCCCTGCCGCCGCCCGCCGAGCAGTGACGAGCGTTGTGTTTGCGTGCTTGCTTGCAGATCGTGCTGCCCAGCAAGGCCATCAAGAACGAGCGCATCCTGGAGACGCTCATGTTCCAGGCAAACTCGGGCATGTACCGCATCCAGGACAGCTACCTCGAGGCGTGCCAGCGACGCCTGCAGAAGCAGGACTCGCGCTTCAGCGAGTGGGAGTCGTTCGACGTCGGCCTCTAGGATGGTGGAGCCGTCGCGTCGGCCGGCCGCGACGCGCGGGGCTTGGCCCTCGCGAGGAGGAGATGAGAGCGGCCCGCCATCGGGTCCGGCCCGTTTTCCTCCAGCCAGTGAACTCTCCCTCCCCCGTCTTGGGTCACCGCCCACTCCAGCCCAGCCCCTCCAGCCCCTGCTGGCCCTGCGAGTGACTCTCACGCAAATCTCCGAGATAAACCCGTTGTGTGGGCTGCAATCCAAACAGACGGCGAGGACTCTCCCCTTTTTTTGTACCTTGAAACAAAAAACTATTTGTTGAGCATGCGTCCAGCATGCCCCAGCCTCGCTTACTAACACTAAAGTCGCGAATCTTCCCGAAACGGCAGTGTTCGGTAGCGCCGTTAAAACCTGAAAAGTACGATATGTGTGCAGAGTGCTGGTATGTGTATGTGTGTGGTTCTAAAGACAGTCTTACAGTTAGTTTGACAGCCTTATCCTTCATCGCCGACATCACATGAACTTCGACGTCATGAGTTGTTGTACTCCCCTGCTGTAACGTCGAAGGCTGATTGTTAGCTCTAAGTCAGCTTTGTGTTGTTTGGTTTTAATGGTTTCACTTAACTCTCTCACCTACCCATGAGGTATTGAAATATTATGTCTCTGTACCGGTGTGTACTCATTTTTGTAGGTACAAGCCCCTGCATATATTTATCCCCGATAATATTCTCTGTCGATACTGTGTGGCGTCTTTGGTTGTGTGTGTGCTTTGCTGGAACCATTGTCGATCCGACGTCGCACCGACAAGAATTATGTCGATTCGACGTCGAATAGACGAGGTTGTAGCCGGCGAGTAATTAGCTTTTGTAAGTGCCAAACAGCCCAGTAAAGAGAATAACCTCATTGGTAAGCACACTCATAGAGCACTCATTCCTGACATTGTAGTGGTCTAAAAAAATAAAGGCATCAAATTTATTTGAGGCCAGAACCAAACAAACAACCTATCGATGACGCTTATGTTTTAATTGTAAAGTCTAATATATTTCGATTATATCTCTGGGACTGGTAACTTTTCCTTAAAATCTTTATAGACGAAAATGTAAAGAAAACTTCAACAAAGACTGCACCTTGTCAAAGTAAATTACGTAAAATATGCTATACATAAGAGACTTTCCAGTCATCAGCAAGTAATGTATGTTTGTTATTTTCAGAGAAGATAAATTTAATATAATTTACCATGGTTAGTGAGAATTTGGGCCACAGTTCACTTGTGAAAATTGGTTTAGAAACCAGTTCATGAAACATATTTTTCAGTGGAGGATTCTAAAGCTACCTATAGCATGTGCAAGATATACTTGATACAATTAGTATCTCTTATTATTTTGGACAGAAAATATTATTCCAAGAGAAAAATATATATTAATTTTCATATAAATGTTATTTTGAGAGCAAAGATGTTGGCTGATTGTGTATAAAGATGGAAACCTCATACTTAAATATGTAGATTGACTTCCGCAAGAAAGCAGGCATTTGTTCCATCAGAAATGTAGAATGAGTGTTATGTCTGATATTTTTCAACTAAAAAATTCTTTTCTTTTCTTTCCAGTTTGTATTACAAATTAATTGTTTCTCCCAATCACATTATTTTTTATTTTGTTGTGCCATGAAAAGAAGCTCGTTAGTCTTAAATTTGTCAACAATTCTGTAAAAACTAATCATAGGGAATTAAGATTTGCTTCTTACCTTTGGGACTCATAAAAATCTTATTTATGCATTCAACTGAGGTTACCGCCAAGCAAATGTGTTCTCCTGCCCAACCTTCTAGTGATCAAGAGCCCGAAACTTTTGATTGATATGGCTTAGTTATTTTAGTTTTCTCACAAGTGGTAACTGGTATTGTATATTTGTAAGGTTTGTGGCCTTTGATCTGATTTGGTGCCATGCTTTTGGCACCCAAACAAGGCCACCCACCTGTTTCTGGTGTGGCAGCCCTCCATATTGAACTGTTATGTGTGCATTGGTGTATCTTCTTATATCCTCTCTTCTCATCTACCATGTACAAGGAAAATTACATATGATATATCTGTGTGTTATGACTTTTGTAGACTCTTTTCCAGCAAAGTCTTCCCTTTCCTCAGAACACTCTGAGTTGTACGTTCTCTGTTTTTGTCCATTAATTATGTGTCTGTAAATGTTCAAATGTTTGTATTGTGTTGGATATATATAACCATATTCAAGAGAATTATTGTCTAATCTTGCATGTCGCTATGTGTGTGACCTGAATCTATGCAATGTGTTTTCTGTACCTAAGAGTTTATGTGCCTGTTATTGCTTTGTTGTCTTGATTTGTTCTTCATGCATCTGCCCTTGTATAAACGGCATCTTCCAAAAACAAATACTTTTGCTGAACAATCTGTTACGAGAGGTAAACATCAACAATTTCTACACTTCTTAGTGTGCTATTGCAATCTCTTGCTTTATATGGGAAGATCCGTTTACTGGGATTATTTTTCTATGCCATTTACTATGTCTGTAATAACTGCATGGTGCAGTGCTAGTATTGCTGAATACCTGTATCTATGTACTTGATGCCCAAAAAAATGTGCTAATGTGCGCCCAAAACAGGTTGTTTATCCATGACAAATGAAATTATTTATCTTCATGTTAAGTGCAATCATCTGTCAATGATCTGATGACCATCACAAATACATTAAGCTTGTCATCTTCAGTTAAATTTACCTAGAAATAGTTGAATGAGATCATATAACAGCATAATGGGTCTTTTGATAAAGCACAGTAAGCACATCCGTCTGCTTTCTTCTTCCCAAATCTGAAGAAGCTATGGCTGTTGTCACATTATATTCGGCAGTGTTGTATTCAGCAATGTTAATGAGATTAAGATGTTCAAGTTGTGATTGTAAAGGCAGCTTTGCTTTTACTGTATTAACTGGATTTATTTTCAAAGAAATTTGATCTCCGCAGAACTGTATCTGTCAAGTTAGAGTGAATACAAAGAGTCAGCTGTTCAATTGACTCTGATTATTTATTAGTTTTAACTGTGATGATTGTCCCTGTAGAATGTGTAATCTATTCCCCTATCATGGAAAAGAAACTATATAAACATTCATGTGAAAACTCTTTTCTAGTAATAAGACGGCAAGTCTGGTAATAATATCGTTCCTTGTGAGGGAAAACGAACCAGCCAAGAAGTTTGTCACTTTATACATGCCAACTTTTCTACAGCCTGAAATGATAAATTTATATATTAACATATATCTATGTATAGAAAGTCTATGGCAGAGCATTCCTGGGGGATGTTATCCACCCTCACACATCCCCCCCCTCCATTTCAGTCATATCAAGAGGATACAAAACTTGGTATATTATCATGATTCTTCTGTATTCTATGCTGTGTTCTGAGAGGTGTTTGTGTTTGATATTAACTCAGTACTAATAATGTTATAAAACAAGCGCGTCACCAGGAATGCTCTGATTTGATGTCAAGATGTCAAAAGAATGAAAATAAAGTTTATTTAGATAAATAACTTATTATTTTCTTCTTCTTCTTAATTTCTTTAGCCTGCTTGTAGGCATCAACTACAGACCAGGGCCACGAGATAACACTGATTACACCAGGTGTCCGTAAGAATACGCGGCAGCTCGATGGGTTGCCTACGCACTAGCGTGCAGGCGCGGAGGGCGAGGGGGGAGCGGTGGAGGTGCGCACCTTTCCAGCGAATTCCGAACAGACTATAAAGGAGGCGCCCCGATTGTCCGAAGCTCGTTTGTCCGAACCTAATTTATCTATTTTA